GGTTCGTGTCAAGCGTTTCGTTTGGATCACACAATACGACATCCAATTGTCTTCCATCGGTTACGTTCCACAGCCTAATAGATCCGTCTCCAGAGCCCGAGGCTATCGTCTCGTTGTTAATGCAATCGACAGCTGAGACAAACTCTTTGTGACCCAAACAATAGCTCTGAATGTTATAAGTGTTTGGATAACACGTGACCCGAATCTTCTCGTCTCTATCGGTGGTAATCAAGTATTTCGAGTCATTTGTTTGCGTCAAATCCAAGAGCATTGAACAGTGGCCTAACAATAGCCGTCCGGCGGTCGGCGTGTCGTTACCGGCGGTCAACTCGTGTTCAAACACATCACCGCTTTTGTGGCCACAAATCACTGCCTTATTGTTGGCCGCAAACAACACGCGAATGCAATTTCGGGACACTTTTGTCCGCATTGTTTGCCTCCAAGTGTTGGACACCTTTTCAAAGACAATCAATTGCTTCCGATTGTCACAAACGGCCAAATAATCGCATCCGTGGCTAAAACTGCCGCAAACCATATCATAAGCAGTCGTATCGCTTTGTTTGACTTCATTGCCATTCATTGGTTGGACATCGATATCGATGACAGTCTTGGAACCGATCTTCAAATCAAATAACGCCAACTGATGGCCAGTTGTGTCCCAAATGGCCACAAATGTGGTGCCGATCGACAAAAGCATCGCTTGTTTTCAATGGTAAACAACACTAACGGTGTGTCACGTGTTGAGCGCATTGAGTCAACACATATTGGATGTAAGCGTTTGAATGATTGGCTGTTTATAGCGTATGCCATACAACCAGTCAGGATGGCCGAGTGGTCTAAGGCGCTGCGTTCAGGTCGCAGTCTTCTTCGGAAGGCGTGGGTTCGAATCCCACTTCTGACACAAACTTTTTTGCCATCAGTATTAATTGTGTTTATTTAACACTACTTTTTTCTTTTGTTAATTTGTTTGTTTTTTTTTTGTTAAATGTATTTAATTTGAATGCAATTGTAATCGAGTAATAAAAATGTCATCAAAAGAGTTGACAATAAAATGTGATGAATTGGTTGTGTATTATGTAATGCGGTGTCAATTGTATGGCATTTGTAAGGCATGTAAAGTAGGTTTGCCTGCAATGCGTGCAAACCGTGCCATAAATGCATTGAAACGATTGCAAGCATTGAAAGCGTGAATGACTTGCAGTTAATTGAGTGCCAATTGTAGCCATAATTTGCACACAATTTAAGCAATTATTACTGCAAACCATTCGCCCATTGAATCCAATCGACTGATCACACCATGGATTCGACGCCTGGAGACAAGGATGAGATGATCTCAAACTTCTGTAACATTACTGGTAAGAGTGACATGAATTGTCAGAAAGTGTTTTGATTGTCAGTTGTATTAACGCGTTGTTGGCTTCGGAGGACAGGTGTGGACGCGACCAGAGGTCAGTTTTACTTGGAGTCGGCCCAATGGGATCTGCAGGTAGTGTTACCACCGATTGTCACACATAAACAAACGCTTAACATGTCTTGAATTGATGATCAGCTGGCGGTCGGATCTTTCTTCGAGACGGCCGGCGAAGACATAGCGGCTGAGGGACAGCACAATCCGGTCCCAAGCGAAGAGCACGAGAGGGCACAACAGTTGCAGCAAATGTTTGGCAACCGTCCGGTCACTGAACGCGTCTCAAACTCGGCGAGCGATGCAGAGATGTCGTCCCCTCCGGACATCACTTCTTCGGCCGCAAACACTCAGAAGCAGCCAAAGAGTGCACCGAAACCGAAATCTTCGTCAAACTTCGCCACTTTGGACTCATTGAGACAAGAGATGGATTCGGGAGAGAGTAGTGATGACGAACACCAGGCCTTCTACGCCGGCGGCTCTGAGAGGAGCGGTCAGCAAGTGTTGGGTCCCAAGAAGCCCAAGAATACGAACGAAATGGTGACGAATGTGTTTTCATCGGCCAAAGAACACGGCGCCGAAGTAGTGGATCCGTCCGAAGAGGCGAAAGTGAAGAAAAGGGCCAACGCTTTCGGCGGCACCGGCTTTAAACTGGGCTCCACTTCGCAGGAGTCAGCGCCCATCGCAGGCCCGCCGGCAGCGCAGGGATCGCGTAATCAGGAAATGGTACTCAAGTTTTGGTCGAATGGGTTTAGTGTAGACGACGGCCCGCTTCGCGAGTACAACGACCCCCAAAACCAGGAGTTTTTGAATTCCATCAAAAGGGGAGAAATTCCGCGAGAATTGGCGCAGAAATCGGGCGGAAAAGAAGTGCACTTAAACCTCGAGGACCACAAGAATGAAGACTACTCTTTACCCAAACGACGTCTGCAGGCCTTCTCCGGTGAGGGCTTTCGTTTGGGTAATCCTACGGCCGAAGTGGTGACGTCGGCCCCCAATCCATCGCATACTGATCCCAATGTGTCCGAATCGGAAGCCGTGAAGGATTTGAATGTCGACCCAAACCTTCCCACCACTAGTATTCAGATACGACTGTCGGACGGAACCCGGTTTGTATTCAAACGCATACTTTTTGCTAAATATTTGATTACAATTAACGTATTGTTTGAATTGAATGTCTAGTCTTGTGGTTAAACTGAATTTAGTGCACACTATCGCTCACATCCGACAGTTTATCTGTACATCTCGTCCCACATATTCCGCCACTAATTTTGTACTAATGACTACATTTCCTAACAAAGAACTAACCGATGAAACGCTTACCATAAAAGACGCGAATCTGGCCAACGCTTCGATCGTTCAACGACTCAAATGAATGACCAGAACAAGAGATTTTCATTTCTAATGACAAATTGTATTTTTGTGTTTAAATTATAAATAATTTTTGTGATGTTTTTTCAACTATTCGCTAAACGATACCAATTTTATACTTTATTTCTTATAAATAATATAATTTATGTATAAATCTATAAAAAATAAAGTGAAAAATGATTGAATTGTTTGAAAGCGATTCAATGAATGGATGATATGTTTGCACTTATATTTGGAAACAACAGAAACAAGAAAAATAAAATCATAAAAACCGCAAACACTTTGTCGTCTCTATTCGTGAAAAGTATTGATTTCTTCTTTACGTAATACTCAGCGATCGATACGATAGGCGCCAGACTTTGGCTCAAAAATTGTCACTTTTCTTATTCACACATTTTGTCCCAATTTTGAAATCAAAATATTCAAAAACAGTTTTAATTTGATTCAATTATTGATACAGTTTTTTAGTATAAAATTAGCTACAATTAGCATTGATTATGAGCGCACAAGTAATTGAAAAGTTGGAACAGTTGTGGAGTATTCTTAACGAGAGTGTCACTGAAGAGGTGAGGTTGAAGTGGTGGCAAACCATTCAAAATGAATACAAAGATAATCAGCTCAGAAAACACTACGATCTCAATCATATTGCAAACATGTTTATCCATTTGGATGAGAATCAGGTGAGACATCATTCCTATCCTTTCCTATTATAACAAATTCCTAACCGTTTTGTCCGCAGATGAAGATTAAATCTGCCAGAAGTGTCTCTTACGCCATATTCTTTAAAAAGTAATTACATAATCAAATTGATTGTCAATGCATTTCAATGTAATCTAATTTTATTGAATTTAAAAATTAGTTTAAGTTATGATCCAAAATGTGTGGACAATGAGGAGAAAAGCATCGATTTATTCAAACAATTTGCAAAAGAAGCTGATATTAACGATGTATGACTGCTATAATTAAATTACAAGTTATCAAAATTACTATTATATTAAATTCGGCAATAATTGAATTTCTATGATATTTACAGACGAATCCAATTTATACAGAAGTGATTGAATTAATACTTCTGACAAAAACTCATTTGACTGAAGAACACAAGAGTGAAACTCTGTTCGGCACTCAAGACATCCATTATTTTCTTGATTTTGACTTAAGTTATTTGGGCTCAGATTCTGACAGTAAATCATTATTAAATTATGAAAACAAATAACAATTCTAATAATTATTGAATTATTTTTTAAATAGACTATACTTTATATGCGTTGAGTATACGAAACGAATATGACTTTATGTCGGAAACGGTTTACAAACAAATTCGCGCAAAAGTAGGCAATTATTAAATTGATGTTTAAATGACTTATGCATTGCTTTGAGTACTTAACACTGGATTATCCCTTCAGGTCCTCAAGTCATTGCTAGAAATCCCCAAAATATACTCAACGCAAGAATTTTACGACAAATACGAAACTAAAGCCCGGAATAACATCAAGAATGAGATCGAAGTATTGGAGGCATAATTGCATCGATCGGTTGAACGAAACTATTTTTAAACCTCAACTAAATTAACATATTTTTTGAATATTTTTTCCTCTCATTTGCTAATTGTCTGAATTTATGTCTTAAATGTAATCAATTAAACAATTTGTGTCTTTACTTGTGTATCAAATAAGATAACAATAAANTGCATCGATCGGTTGAACGAAACTATTTTTAAACCTCAACTAAATTAACATATTTTTTGAATATTTTTTCCTCTCATTTGCTAATTGTCTGAATTTATGTCTTAAATGTAATCAATTAAACAATTTGTGTCTTTACTTGTGTATCAAATAAGATAACAATAAAACGATTGCCTATAAATCACTAATTCATTAAAAACTATTGTTTTATTCACCATATTCTTTGGTTCTCACAGAATATTCTTTAATTTCTTTAAATCTCAATATAATATATCATTCAGTAATTGTCATCATTTAGTCCAATAAATCTTCACTTATTTATAATCTTAAGTTATAAATTATATAAAAATAATTATTATCAGAGAATTGCATTAAGTTAAATAAAAGATCACAAAATAGTCACTATAACTATTAAATAGTCATGAATGAGATAAATTAGAGAAAGAGTAATTTTACTATGACGTGGTTATTATACTGGTGGCCGATTCGGCCACAAAATCTCAATCATGGTCATATGTAATAGTTATGGATTTATTGCTATTTTGATCACAAATTATTGCCATATTTTATAAACTTTACATTTGTTTCACTCAAACTCCACTCTATTTTAATTTTTAACCACAATTTATTTATGAAGAATGTTGGCACGCATTTAATATGGGTTCTATTAGCTTACATCTTAAGTCGATTACATAGGTTTAACATGGGTAATGCTAACCCTATGGGATTGCATCGACACCAAAGACGTCATTGACGTCAATAAGTGATGAAATGTTTTGAACATTTGTTTTGATGTTTTGAACCTTTAAATCACAATTCATTAGTGTTTTCATTGAATTGATGTCCAAATCATTGAAAGGCTTTTCGGCGACCATTCGTGCCGTCAATAACGCCAACAAATCCAAGAAATTGGTGTCCAATAGATCTGCTATTGTTTTGGTAATCAATGTCTTGGCGTTTGTTTCATATGTTTGTCAAAACTTGTTGTATATCTAGACGTCATCGGCGGTGAATCGGATCAAAGAGCTGATCGCTGGCAAAGACAATGTGGTGAGTAGTGAATGCATTAACGGATGTATTGAGTGATGTATTGTCGGACAGATTGGTCTTCGGATTGGTGTCAAACAGAGAGGTTGTAATGGTTTGAGTTATTGTCTCGATTACGCCACCGATAAGCAGAAGATGGACGAAGAGGTGGCTCAGGATGGTATGTATGACTGCATTGAATCCAATGGTGTGATTGCATTGTCTGTTTCGCACCAATAGGTGTGCGCGTATTGATTGACTCGAAGGCACAGTTGTCTCTATTGGGCACTGAAATGGATTTCATCGAAACAAAGCTCTCCTCAGAGTTTGTGTTCAATAATCCAAACGTGAAGGGAATGTGCGGTTGCGGTGAGTCCTTCACCATCTGATCCATCACTTGCCGCACACATCGCGGTTCACATCTTTTCCGTACAACTGTTTGCTAATATTTGTAGATATTTTATAACAAAACTTAGTTTTAAGTTAATTTTAGGTTTGAATGAATGAATTAAATAGAAGTACAAAATATAACAATAAATTTATTTTAAAAACTTTAAACCAATACTTGATTAAAGCTTTTAATGAAATGGTTTTATTTAAATTTATTAATTTATAAACAAATAATTTATTTACAAATAATTTAATTTGTGAAACACTTTTATAATGTATAACCAGTGATAACAAGGAATAGATTTTTAAAAATTAGAAAATTGAATGAATGATAGGATCAGATGGTCTGAGAGGCAGAGCTCTGACTCGCGTAGATAACGGCGCCGACAAAGTTAATACTGGCCGCCAATATAAACACTGGGAACCAACGGCCGTGCGATTCAGTCACCAATTGGGCGGTCAATGGACCGCAAAGTATTCCCGGAATAGTAGCCAATGTATTGGAAACGGCAAAAGTGATTCCCGCGTGATTTGGGGCTATGTCTGCGTGATTGGAGAGATGGCCGGCGCTATTGAACGAACACAAGGCCATCGATAGCGAGACAAACACAACGGCGAACAATAAACTCTTCATTGAACTAAATAGCAGTAAACAGATCGCGGGTCCAATCAAACCAATTATAGTCATTAAGCGCCGCACCGACAGAACCGTCCATTTCCTGGCGATTAAGCCATCGGCTATATGTCCGGCCACTGCAATGTTAGAGTAGATTATATGTTAATAAGTGTACAAATAGTGACCAAATTTAGACCAATACTACTGACCGACTCCTAACATAGAGTTCACAATATAAGGCACAGCCGTTAGACTTATACTCTCTTTGTTAGCGCCGAGATTTCTGGCCAAATATGTGGGCAACCATTGCATTATGATATAATTGGACCAATTCATGGCAAAGTGTGCGATATATATGGCCCAAAGTGGCCAATGGCTGATGAATTGAGTCCATCGCACGTTCTTTGAGTTCACTTTTGGATACACTAATGGAAGTTCGTCTTCGCCGACGTCTTTGATTTCGGAATATAAGACAATCCAAACCAAAACCCAAACGATTCCAAGCGTTCCGAATGTATAGAACATCCACTCCCACGGAAGGTGTGGACAAATCAGCGCCGCCACCGTCTGGCCTATAGTTCCCGCGCCCACCAAATACCCAAAAGCTCGCGACCTTTCGGGCACTGGAACTGAATGCGCGAATATATGAAATATTGTCGGCAAACCTAAGTGTCGTACAAATCACGAATCGGTTATTGCATTCAATTCATAACAAAGCGATTCAAATGTCAGACCCAATCCCTCTCCCAATCCTAAGACAACCCGACATATAATAAGAAAATTCAAATTCGAGGCAACCAATGGTGTGATTAGTGTCGAGACTGACCTATTAATGTCAAAACAATTATACAATGTATATGTGTTTTGGGAACAAATATGTGACAAAATCAACACAAAAACAGACCACAAGAATACAGCGGACGTCAAAACAGTCTTTCCGCCAAACTTTGAGGCAGCGGTCGCTCCGATGACCTGATTTGCAAACACGCGATACAAACACAAAAACAAATGCATTTCATTAGTCGAGTGGCACTCATGTGATGACTGGGGAGGAAGTGATACCTGACTAGTGATGTATCCGAAGGCGAAGGCGCTTAAGACCCATCCCTGCCAATAGAGAGACCACTTAAACTGGTCGCCCATCGATATGATAGCCATCGGCATAATTATACGGTCGGCGGCATTGATGAAGTTGGCCGTCGAGCACAACGCTATCATGCGGTGAGTCTTCGGCTGCATTGCAGCGCTTCTTGTGTCCAATCGAGTGATGGATTCAATCAATTGCTGACATTATTTGCCGACAAAACAATTATTGCGTCAAAAATATACGTAAAAAAGTGGGACTAAAAGTGTGTAACAAAAAAACTCAACACTCGATCGGATCAGTTGTCGCACGAGTTTTAGCCCGTATTCAATGTCATAATAAAAGTGTATCTAAAAAGTGAGTCTATATTTCAAAACACTGTTTAAAAAACAATTTAATAACAAATTATAAAATCAATTATGAAATGAACAAAAATGTTATATAATTTTGTTTACGATTTGAGTCTCACTTTTCAGCTGACGTTTCGTTGAGCCGTCTGTTTGTGGTAGAGGTCGACACCACTGGTCGCCCATTCATGCCATCGCCAAACACATCCATTTGATCCCAAAAACTAATTCTTCGCCTTTTAATTCGCTAACCATTTAACCCATCATTAGATTAATCGCTAAACGTATACACGATATATGTATTTGACGTGAAAATAGAGGCAAAACACGTGTATTTGTTAGTCAATTGTGTGGACTACGGTTGAAAATGCCTACTAGGCATTATGCCCACTGGGCATATGCCTAGGCATAAATGCCCGGCATTTTGGGCATATATATTTCATGCCCAGTTGGGCATAAAATTCGGGGGGCGAATTGGGGGAAAATTGGGGGAAAAAGGGGGGGGATGACACACTTTACTACTTACGCCATCTGGTGTGGTGCCTTTTTGGATAGAAACGTGCCGGGCATATGCCGGGCACGTGCCGGGCATATAGGGCATATATATTAAATGCCGGGCATTTTTTCAACCGTAGTGTGGACTCTTATGTGCGGTTTGAATGAGACCTCTATTTGATGTCAACTCTAGTGAACACTTGTCTGCGAAAGTGTTTTGACTGTAATTTAAAATTCCATTCATTTTTGCATTTATTAGTCATTTAATGAATTGATTGCAAAGAAATACAAAACCATTTGTTTCGCTAATTATCGCTCAAATCAGACAAAAGTGTCCTAAAGTTTGCCCCAAATATACTGCCATTGAATCGCCGCTCAACGCATCGCCGGATCAGCTCAAGCATGTCTTCGTCACTGAATGGCACGACGGGTGGACACAAGCAAACGGACAGACAGTTGTTGAAGTCGAAGATCGATAAACTCGACTACAAGTATGTGGTGTTAGGCAATGGCCTGAAGGCGTTGCTCGTATCGGATCCCACGTATACCGCCATTAAGGACACACCCGATACGGGCGACGGCTCCGAGTCGAGTGGTCTGAGCGACAACTCTGACTCCGATTTGACTGATGTCTCGTCGTGTGACGAGAAGGACGAACCCATTGAACCGAATCTGATCCGTCGGTCAAAGAGACGCCGCACTAATAACAACGAGAAGTTGGCCGGCATTGCGATAGTTGTGGGAACCGGTAGTTTCGCCGATCCTAAAGAGATCCACGGTTTGGCCCATCTGTGCGAACACGTGATCACAATGGGTTCCGAAGAGTTTCCCGAAGAGAACAGTTTGGACGACTACCTGACGAGTCGGGGCGGCTATCAAAACGCTCACACGGAGTACGAGTACACTATGTATGAGGTGGAGGTCCACCGCAAGCACTTCTACGGAGCGCTCAAACGATTGGCCCACTGTTTCATTCATCCTTTACTGCGAAGCGAATCCATTGATCGCGAGATAAAACCGGTGGACACGGAGTTCGTGTCGGCGCTGAACGACGACGACGTCCGGTTGGAACAGATATACAACGGGTTGGCCAATGAGGGCCATCCGTTCCACACGTTTCCCTGGGGTAACGCTCTTTCGCTTAAGACAATTCCCGAGCAAAACGGAACTCCAACTCAGAAATATGTGAAGGACTTTATCGGAAAGCACTACACGTCGGACAACATTCATATTGTGATTCAATCCCAAGAACCCATCGCAACGCTGGAGGGATGGGTCACCGAACTCTTCACTCCTGTTAAATCTTCCGCCACTAATAATGAGATCAAGGATTCAAAACAAGTGGACATAAAGTTTGGAAAACCTTTCGATAATAACCCGAATTTTAATAAACTGTATTTTGTGGAACCGATCAACGAAACGGATCAGATCTCCTTATACTGGTGTTTACCTCCTGTGGCCAAGCATTACATGACGTCTCCATTGCATTACTTGGGAAACATTGTCGGCCACGAAGGGAAGGGTAGTTTGATATCGTGTCTGCGCAAAGAGAATCTGGCTCTGGAACTGGTCAGTGGTATCGACGAGTCCGGCTTCTCGAGCAACAAGTATTCATCGGTTTTCCAGATTGGAATCAAATTAACAGATTTGGGAAATAAAAACATCGATAAAGTCGTGGAATATGTGTTTGAATACATAAATCTATTGCAAAGAGTGGGCCCTCAGGAGTGGTTCTTCGATGAGATGAAGCGAATGGAGAGGAATGCGTTTGACTGGCAGGAGGAACAGCCGGCTCTCAACTATGTCAAGAAGTTGGCCGGCAGTTGGAATCACTTACCCATTGAATATGTTTTGTGTGGCAATAAATACTTCGAATACGACAAAGAGCTGATCCAGAGTTATCTGAATCTGTTGACACCAAACACCGCCTCTTTCGTCCGTTTGCGCACAAATATCCTAAAGGATCAAAAGGATGTGAGGACTGAGAAATGGTTTGGCACTAAATATTCTGTGAATGAAGTGCCGCCCAAATGGCTCTCATTCAAGAGCTATGCGACCAATCATTTCCAGTTTCCAACGCCTAATCCATTCATTGCCACCGATTTCGAGATGAAAGAACTCAGTGCCGGAACTCCGCCCTTATATCCGACCAAAGTGTTGAATAACAAGAGAGCAAAGCTTTGGTATAAACCGGACAACAAGTTTAAACGTCCGAAAGCCATCATTAAACTACACCTCATATCTCCATATTTTGCCGATTCCGTGGAGAGCGCCATAAAGATGGACCTCTTTGTCGAGATTCTCAACCAGAGTCTCAGCGAAGAGGTATACGACGCCTCTTTGGCCGGTCTTTACTGGAGTCTAAGCCAAACGATCGCTGGTCTGGTGCTAACGGTTCGTGGTTTTAACCACAAACTCAATGTTTTACTTAATTGTATTCTCAACAAAATGATTGGCTTCGAAGTCGAGGATAAAGTGTTTCATGACGTGAAGAAACACTTATCCAAAGAGTATCACAACTCGTTTATCGACGCAAATAATCTCAATCAGTCGTTAAGACTTACAATTTTAAACCAGCGGTTCTTCAATAGTGTCGACCGAAGAGATGTTCTCAACTCTATTGACAAACAGAGTCTAAAGGCATTTGTTTCCAAATACTTCTCCAACTTCTATATCGATGCCTTAATTCAGGGAAATCTGACTCAAGAAGAATCAATTGTTTTAATATCAGAAATTGAGAAGAGATTAGGTTTGGACACGAAGTCGGATGAGTTAGAAGAGCCCAAACTGACCACCGCTCAGATACCAGTGGGCGACGGCTTTTGTCGAGTGGTATCGCTGTCGCCAACCAACAGAAACTCTGCGATCACTAATTACTATCAATTACTTCCGGCAAACATTCGCCTGCAATGCATGTTATCAGTGCTGTCTTCGGTCACAGAAGAGCCGTGTTTTAACATTTTGAGGACCAAAGAGGGGTTGGGTTACTACGTGTCGGCCACTGAATACGACACGTACGGCATCAGCGGCTTCGGCCTCACTGTTGTCTCGTCTGGCAATGAGTTTGACTGCACTTTCGTTGACCAACGGATCGAGAATTTTATTCAACAAATGGTTGAAATCATAACTAATATGGATTCGCAGAAATTCAAGGATCACATCAACTCGATTATCACCGCCAAAAAGGTGCCCGATTTGAAGCTCAACGACGAGTTCACCCGCAACTGGAATGAAATCAGTTCTTTCAACTACTGCTTCGATCGCATCCAAAAAGAGATCAAGTGTTTAGAAAAGGTATTACAAACTAAACGCTTAATACAATAGTTATTTGGATATTAATAATGATTATCTAAATATAGATCACATTCAATGAGTTCAAGGAGTGGTCGTGTAATGAAATTCTGCGAAACAATAGCGGAACCAAACGAAAGCTAAGCATTCAGGTAATGATGTCATGTTATGACGTGTTGTAAACAATTTAATAATTGCTTTTATTATTTAGATCGTCGGTTACGGCAAGAAATCATTGGCCGAATGCTTGACATTCGATGGAAAGACTCTGGACTTGAAAAGTGATTCAAATGAGGAGCAGAGCGTTGAAGTCGATGACTCGGAACAGAGATTCAAGAAATTTCGATTAACTTATTTGAAGCCTAAAAATATCGATGAAAAACATAATTTTATTAATGATATCGTTAAGTATAAGAAGGGTTTAACTGTATATCCCGTCCATAAAGTAGTTGAATGATTGGTATAAATATTAATCCATTTTATACAATAATTTATAACTTAAAAAAGGATACAATTAATGAAATTGAAAATAAATTTTTAACAAAATGCTTACAAAAAACGCTAAAAACGATTATTAAATATATATTTATATATAAAAAGTTGATATATTAGTAATAAAATGGAAGATTTAGATGACGAGCGCTGTTCCGTCCGACTTATAGACCGCGTGATAAGCGTTTCGGAGTAAAGCGTATGGAAAACAGGACTCCAAGAGATCCATTGTGAGGAACGGACTCTCCTGTACTATCATATCGAGTAACAGATATATGGATTCCCTATTCCTGACCAACTCTTTGTCGGGTTCGTGTCCTAAACGCAACAAACTCGACGACGCGAGCGCTAAAAACTCCTTAAGACGCTCTTCAATATCATTGACGCCACAGATAGTGAAGAGGGCGCCGGCGATACCGTTGATGGCGTGGGCGAGACAGTGGACGTTATTGGCGTGCGCTTCCAGTGAAGGTTTGTAATAAGACGCCTCATTTCTGGCCAACTTTGGCAGCGATACCGCTATGAATACCATTAGAAGACACGCCATTTGGTACTCGTCTTCTCCTAATTCTATAACGGTTTCAAAGTTGTTATAATGGCTTTCAAGACACGGCAAGACATCCATAGGAAAACGCCTAATATTTACCGCATTTCTGTGATCGAAGAGCACTGACTAAAGCCGGATCTACTTTGCAGGGAAGACCCGTCGCACTCGCCATTTCACTCACGATCTATTGTTTGGTTTATAATTATAAGTTAGCCATCAATTGTAATATTGAAAACTGTATTACTAATTATAAATAGTGATTAAATTATAATATAAATTAAACGAAGAAAAGTTAACAACTAAAAGATGACACAATGCATGACATAAGTGGACACAAATACCTGTAGTTTGAAGTTTTCGATCTTTCATTGAAAGTGAGTTTATAGGAAAAGGACAATAGATTCCCACATTAATCATAATTTATAGATTATTAAAACACTATAGAAGTGGTAAACAAGTATTGGAAATGTCATACCATTGAATCCCCATTCATAACGTGGTGTTTAAAGTCATTAATAGAACTCAAGAGGAATGGTATACGTTCTCCGAGTACATCGTTGAGCGCGTCCTGAGCCAGACTTCGGAAGCATATAATCACTCCAATGATTGACATTCTTTGCAAAACACTGTCAACATCTGTCATACAGTCAACAATCGATTAATAAAATTGCAATTTTGTAGTTATAATGAGAATTAAAGCAAAGCATTAAATGTTAGTCAAAAGGCAAATACTTTGAGAGATTTTCGGTCCTTTAGAAGCGTTAAAATAGCGATAAATATTTATTAAAGCATAGAATATAAAAAAAAATGTGATAAATGTCTTACTTTGGAGTCTTCTAAACAACTCTTTCATTTGTTCCGGTTTATCATAATTAGAGCGAAGGCCGACCAACACATCTTTGTTCAGTACAACCAGTTTCTGATTGTTTTATACAATTTCATTATTAATT